ATTCTAAACGCTAGTCTGAGAATGCTACGAGCAGTCGGGGTCGCAACCTCTGGCACGCGTGCCACATGCACGTGGCACGGCATAACCAATGCACACTAGGAATAAGGAATAAGTCATTATTTTGTTTTACGGAGTCCATGAACGAGACCCGCCGCCAGAGCGCGTCTCCCCGCTCACCCTGCAGAAGGAAGCCATGCACGCAACGCACGCTACCCAGCTCTCTTTAACTCCAGTGACTTTTCTGTCCGCTTTCAACTCCGTGGTTGCATGCTGATCGTTTCCAGCACGGAGGAAAGACGTTCACAAATTGCAGTACCAAGAAGGACTCACAAATGACGCCAGTTTGCGTGGGCTGTGTTTTAGTTGAAAGCCCAGTGGCGATCTGCTCAGTCTCCATCGAACTAATATATGCTACAAAAGGGCGGACTGCCATGGCTGTGTGTTGCATTTCCTGGCGGTGCTCCGCAGACCGTAGTCCAGAGAGCAGAACACACAAACTAAGGTTCAATAATCCACTGAGCGAGAAGATGGAGGAGAGGCGACCGCTCTTCTTGGGAGGCCGTTGCATTTTTATTTAGCTGTATCTTTCGTTTCTTCACAAAATACATCAGACCTCTGTTTTTCCTGCTTCCTTCGTTTCACTTCAAGAAACATACACACGTTTCCTCACCTGTCGCTCCGCCACCACACACACACATTGCACAAGCCACACCCCCTCTCTCCTCTCTCTTAAAGGACAGCGGATCTCATCCACTGTGCATGACCCTAATATCATAACATGTGTGCCTCTGGAAAATCACAGAGACGAACGAAATCGTCCTTATTACTTATGCCGTTTAAAACCAATTAATTTTAAATGTGTTAATTCGGCATCAATGTAAGTTGCGCCTGACAGGTCCACACACTGCTTCCCCTTAGCCGGAGCTCCCCCGCCCTCCTGCCGATAGTTCACGAGCTTCAAGCTCCTCAACCGCCCCCCGTTGATAATTCTCGATCGTTGGCACGCTGATCAAAAAAAATTTTTTAAATGGCACTTCATATCAAAAAGGTTGCCGACCCCTGCTCTAGAGTAACGGATGAACAGTTGAGAAAGTTAGCGTAAACAGTGGAAATATTTAACTAGCCAAAGAAAAAGTTTGAAATATACGATATAACATAGCAGCTGAAATAGTTAATTGGAAGTAGGCCTAATGGATTTTAAATGTTTGTTTAAAACTTTCAATAAGATAAGATAAGATAGTACTTTATTGATCCCAATTTGGGAAATGTTTACGTTGCGGCACCATAAAAATACATGTCATTGTGCAATAACAATTCAAAGACTAGAAATAAACAAGAAAGTAGAAAATATAAATGTTGAATTTAACAAGGTATTACATAAATATATATATATATAAGCACCTTAAGTAGTTGACTAGCTGAAAGCATTTGATATTCAGTTGAAATAGTTAGCCAGTTTAAGCTCAAATGAATGAATACCTGGCTAAAACATTGACAATTCAATAATAACATCTTAACTAGTTTTACTTTTCAACTGCTGAATATAACCATTGTTTCTTTCTCTCTACTCCCCCAGCCCTGTCACAAAACCTCCTCCTTAATATCGCCTTGTGCTGCTTAACTTTACATTTGTATTTTACCGTGTGACTCATTTCCAGTATATGGATTCAATCGTCATGTATTTTATAAGAAGTCTTTAAATGTTCTCCAATTCTGGAGGCGTGGTGCTGAAAGACACTTTCCCACTTATCCATTTTACATTTCCCATCTTTTTTTGGCACTCATCCTCCCTTTTTCATTTCCATCCAACTCATCTGAGGGTCCTCTAAGGGAAATAATGATACGACTGAAGCATGAACCCAATCAAGTCTGAGCTCTGATAGGCCGACAAACGCATCCCCATTCCTTGATCGGAACTTTGATTGACAACCTCTCATAAGCGCAGTTTAAAACGAGCTCACTTAAACAGATTTGTAGCCTTCATTCGCAGGAACAGATTGTGCTCTCATCCTGAGTACATAATGATTCATAAATGTCAGTTATGGTTATTACATTACATTGCATTTAGCTGACACTTTTATCCAAAGCGACTTACAATAAGTGCGTTCGACCAACAAGATACAAACTTGAAGAAAACAGAATCATATAAGTACATCAGGTTTCATAGAGCTAAAACATTTCAAGTGCTACTCAACTGGCTTTAGATAAGCCAGTCCTTTATTAGTATATAAGTGCTCTGTTAGTAATTCAATCGATCGAAGTGGAGTCTAAAGAGATGAGTTTTCAGTCTGCGCCGGAAGATGTGCAAGCTATCTGCTGTCCTGATTTCAATGGGGAGCTCATTCCACCATTTTGGAGCCTGGATAGCAAACCCACAAGTTTTTGCTGATGGGAACTTGGGTCCACCTCACAGTGCGGGTGCAGCGAGCTGTTTGGCCCATGCAGAGCGGAGTGCACGTGCTGGGGTGTACGGTTTAACCATGTCCTGGATGTAGGAAGGGCCAGATCCATTCGCAGCATGGTACTAAAGTACCAGTGTCTTGAAGTGGATTCTAGCAGTTACTGGAAGCCAGTTTATTTTTATTTTGAATGACATATCTTTGTAGAGAAACTCAGGGATACAGTTTCATTGGTTATACAACTAATCAATTAGTAGACAACATTATATGATCGTTGGACAACTAAAGATTTCTTTACTTGAGTACAGCCCTACATTCTCAACTGACCTTGAGTATACAGTAGCGGCGGGCCAGATCTCTATAGTGATGTCGGTGTCATTGGGTTGTGGCGGCTGGGCCTGATGCTCAGTGGGAAGACAATACGCCACCCTGACGTCATTGGAGATCGTAGAATGACTCTCATCTGTGGTCACCACTGTGACGATGGGCAGCGTCATGCCCAGGTAGCCTTCTAGAGATGAAAGGGAAATAAAAATAGATGTTATTAACTGTAAGACTTGCTTGAAAAACGAATATGAAGAAAAGGCAGGGACATTGAAAGGGCCATAACCTTATTTGAAATAGTCCATTGTTTGTGAACTCACCCAAGGAGTTCTGCTGGCAGATGTATCTCATAATCTTCATAAAACCATAGCAGATGCTCTGTTCATAAGTTTCCTCACGCATCGTTGTACAAGCCCAGTGGCCCTTCTCGTACTGGCGTTTCTCGTACTGCAGCTCCCCACACTGAAAAGGATAAGAGAAGACTGGGTTGTAACTTGAAATACTCATGAATGCTGTTTCAAATTAGATGATATCTTTTTAATCAAATGAACTTATGCTATTATAACTGGAGAAGGATTTTGAGAATGCCAGCAACAGACGTATAGACGGCTAACGGCTTAGTACAAAAGTTGTAAAACATAACTTTGTGCGTGTATGACATATTTTCATTGACACATTTATAAAACTTGGTTTAGACTGAATACATTTTAGCTGATGAGGTTTTGTAAAGTTATTATTACTGGTGCATCTTTTGGATTTTATTTTTACTTTAGTTACAGACTGTCAGTTAATATTCTTCAGTTTTTTGACCCTACTGTTAACTATCCAAACAAGATATATGATTAAAGCAGCTCTTCAAGTTCTAGCTAGATAATTATTCTGAATATTTAGATGAATCAGTGATAAAAGTAATACTTTGTTTCGTACTTTATTCATGATTAATTGAGAAAACGTCCCCCTTGAAGTTCAAGTGAATGACCTACTGTTGGAAATCTGCTTCCTGTCAACGTGCTGTCCTGAAACCTGCTCTAAGAATAGGGGGCCATGATTGTCCTTTCTTTAATCGAAGTCTCCAGCCAAGTTTTAACGAACTAATTGACTCAAGTTAAACCAATTAGCCCTCTTTATTTATATGGTCCCTTAAGGAGTTTACATGGCTTATTGTATAGGGTGAGATGGTCATTATGTCAAATATAAATAGCTGACCCATACTCAAACAGAACAGCTAACCTATGTTATTATTATATAGAAAATGTACAGAAAGACATGTTTTCCACCAGCTGAACGTATTTGTCTTTTTAAAAGTAGATACCTTTTCTTTGCGTCCGAGCATAGTGAAAGGGACGTGTTCTCTGCTGCTGTGTCCTTGGTTGTTGGTGGTTAGCTGTTGAATTGGCTCTGCCATTTCTGCAAACAGACAAACAATACTTAGTCAGTTCAAACAATGTAACAACAATATAGATATTAACGTGTACAGTACAGTGATATATTTCCATACAACTGTTTCACACCCGCATTAGGTCTGTAATAGAGCTGCGAAGACAAGTCAACTAAAAGAAAATTAATCGTCCACCATCTTGATCTTAATTGTTTTCATGCTTAAATGGGAGACATTGAGTTTTTTGGCTGTTGTATAATGCACCCTCATTTCTAGTAATCTACTGTCAGGCAGTGTTGGTACTACTTTGCGTGAGGAAAGGCTGCCAGATGGGCAGAGCGCTGTGCCAGGATGTCGCAGAGAGTAATGTTCATTGGAGCTGATGGAGAGAACGCTGATTAAAGCTGCCCAAGGCCAGATATAGACTTGAATTAACAGAGAGGGACTACAGCAGAGGCCAAAGCATTTGAAATACTGGAGCAACTTTCACCTAGTACCACATTTTTTTATTAAAAACAGCATAGTATGGATCTAAAATGTGGTGTACCCCCTTATGGAACTGTAACTTAAGGACACCTTGTGTTTTAGTGTGGACAATGCCGCATAAAACTATGACTACAGCAAATCATTCACTAAGTTGTCAGTGAATTATACATTAACAGGACACTGTTATTATAATGCTAATGTTGTCTGGTCCAATAATGCCAATATATTCCATTGTGAATCTGTCAAATACATGTCAGTGAAGGTGAACCCAATCCAATCACATTTTGTCAATCAATATCATGGTGGAGAACTGGGTCAGTGGTATCTGTGGTATTTAGGTGATCAATCCCCCCCAACAAGCTGTCTGTGTGAGAGGACCTGAACGATACGAAACTCATTGAAGATCTCATGGAATCAAGGTTACACTGTAAATCACTGATTATGAGGAGTGGCTCGGCATGGAGAATGACCCTGTACGTTTGACAGTAAAATATTACCCGTCAGTTTATGTCTGAGTCCACAATAAGAGGGACAAGGGAAATAAAACACTTTAGAGCTTAAACCGCTGCATGGTTGTCCACACACACAGGCACGTAGCGCACGCACGACCAAGCAAACTCATCAGTTTCTATGGCAGCACCTGAAGAGCCGCTCAGTGTTGACGCACAACAGTCAACACACACAGTTTTTTTTACCTGAGCTTTGTAATCAGTGACAGGCTGCACGTTCCACTTTCAGTCTGGTCTCTGTTCCACTAACCTCTTGTCGGCTATGTTGATTTTCCATCTTTTTTTCTTCTCTGACAAATCATTTTGAGACGATTTAGTTTTTCAGCTTTTAACGACTTCACTTCCCTTTTATAGTTCAGACTATATCCTACAGATAACCAAACTCTACAGTAGCACCTCTGTTCAACGCACATTGTTTTCCTTTTAAACAAATTGCACATAATATACACATTTAAAGTATTTAAACATCATTCCAATGTCAGAGATATACACAGTCAGGAAGTGTAATCAGCAGTGGTAGAGCTAACCAAGAACTAAAGTTAGAGTCGAGCTTGCTGTAGTAAGTGGTGAACGAGCAGTCTGATTTGTAACTTTTCTTACGTAAAAGTTGCATAATAATGCAGCAGAATTGTTTTCTACCGCGTGTACTGTTAAAATAATGTGTGGTGTCACATTTCCGGTCAGATGATTGAGATTATTAAGTAGAAACATGGGGCAGTGTGTATTTCATGTTTGTATAACCCCTGTATGGAATGAATGCATGTTGACTGGCCTGTGCAACAACACTGAAGGACACACAGCACAGAAACATGTGCACACTTGTTTTCTTTAGTCTCTTGCAAACACACTTACAAAGTGGAAAAATGTCACAACAGATTATTGTGGGAAAATATCAGGGTGTAATTACGTAGGGTTTTTGTGATTTTGCAATAAAACACTGCGGTTTAATTTATTTTTTGTTTATTGGGTGCGCTTAAGGTGCACTTTGTTTTTAACTTTTCATTTGGTGTTCACTAAAAAACATTGCAGTGCCCATCTGAGACTCTTCTGAGCAATACATTCCATTTTGTTTACGAGCTACAAAGCCTGCGTGCATCCACATCAGTTGATGATTTCTGCTCCTCTGACCTAATTTTTCTTTGCAATGAGCCATTGTGGATATCCTTTGCTGGAAACAAAGACGATATTATTTGCAAAGACTTTGACTGGAAACAAAGACGATGGAAATCATAGTCTGTAAAGGGCTTTTGTACATTACTAATACGTTGTATTTTAAGAGTCAAACATGTAAAATGGTACAGATGGGTCTTGCTATAGATATCATTTAAACAATGAATGCATATTTTTTTCACACAAACAACAACTAGGTGGTTGCTATGTTTTAGCATTAGCTCATGTTAGCCAGTCAAATGAACTCAAACAGCCTGGAAATCAGAACTCCCACATTACCCCTGCTCCATCCCAATTAGAGAAAATGAGTTTACTGTGGCCTTGTACTGGAGTTAGCAACAGTGTCGTAGTCCAGGATTTAGCAGCCACAACAGTGATTTTCGTACCACGTCCTCAATTAGTGGGGTGTTCTGAGGATAGAGGGAGGTGAACATGCCGCTCTGTGTTATTGGACTCTAACAGGTCACCTAGTTAGATGACAAATACCTAAAGAAGTGGGTATGGGTCTGCATTTAGAGGGAACAACACTGGGCAGTGACTGCTCTCTAATAATTCCCAATTTGTTGTTTTATGTCCTATTCTTTTATTCTTAGCAATCTGCGGAGCTCGGCACACACACACACACACACACACTCACACTCACACTCACCCTTATCTTTTCTCAGCCGCGGTACTCCGCGGAGCTTCGCACACCCACGCCTGGCTGTGAGTGTGCGTGTGTGTGCTCAGGCTGAGTTTCGCGGTGTCTCGCAGACCCCACGCAGCAACCAGGAAACGACACCAGTAATCCAGCTCAAACTGTCGCTCAGAACAAGTGGACAGGTTTTGTCGTAACCAAGAGTATTGTCCCGTACGCAGAATACCTCATACCACATAACGGAGAGCAGGATGTGCGGAACAACCGAGCGACGGCGCGGGGGAGGGGGTATACTCGGGTGACAACCAGTCGTAACGGCGTGAGACAGCCTCAATAGTGGTGGCATGTCGCCTTGTAGTCACTAATCAATGTTACCGGCAATCGTTGGGTCTTTTACTGTGTGTCATTGACTGTTCTTTGTCTACTCTTACGACGCAGCCCTTGACCCACGGCGCACGCCCTGCGACGCCCCGAGCGTCGACGNCACGTGCTGAGGTGTACGGTTTAACCATGTCCTGGATGTAGGAAGGGCCAGATCCATTCGCAGCATGGTACGCAAGTACCAGTGTCTTGAATTGGATTCTAGCAGTTACTGGAAGCCAGTGAAGGGAGCGGAGGAGCGGCGTGGTGTGGGAACATTTAGGAAGGTTGAAGACCAGACGAGCCGCTGCATTCTGAATTAGCTGCAGATGTCAGATGGCACATGCAGGCAGACCAGCCAGGAGGGAGTTGCAGTAGTCTAGGCGTGAGATGACGAGAGCCTGGACCAGAACCTGCATTGCTTTCTGGGTCATCTGGGGACGTATCCTCCTGATGTTGTAAAGAGTTTATCTTCAGCAGCGGGTTGTAGCAGCGATGTTTGCAGTGAAGGACAGTTTGTTATCTAGGGTCACACCCAGATTCCTTGCAGTCTGAGTCGGGGAAACAATAGAGGTGCCGATGTTGATTGTCAGGTCAAGAGTGGGACAATCTTTTCCCGGAAGGAAAAGCAGTTCAGTCTTGTCAAGGTTGAGCTTGAGGAGGTTATAATCAAAATGGGTGTGATGGATCCTTTTTGTGTGTTGTCAGTAAATGACACCCTTCTTTTGGTTTCCTCTTGGCATGCTTTGTTGCAGGGGATTTGATTCATCAGGGTAATGGCAGAAAACGTCAATTTAATGAGATATAGCTTATATACATATGGCCCCTAGTTCTAAAAGACCTGTGTCTGTCAAGAGCCATAAAGCAATAACACTCTGGCAATAAAGGACAACCATGTATGAACAATGTATAATTGGTGGTTGCCAAAGAGAAAATGGAGTAGAGTAAGTATGGATTATAGTTAGAGGAATGTGCTCTTTGCATAAGTAGCTGTTATCCTAAGCCTATCAGAAGGAATTAGTTCCGGCATTGTGATCCATAAAAACAAAAGTGAAACCCTTTCGACTTAAACAGTGTTCAATAAGAGTATAATCCGTTGTATTAAAGACTGAAGTGTAAAGCAGTTAACCGTTAGCCGAAGCATTTTGAAAGTGTGTGAGCATTTACTGTTGAAGTGGCCAAAAACACAAATGTTTCTAGAGACCCGATGCAATATTTGCTAATAGTGGGATTTGTCTGTCTAATAAAAGGAACCGTAAAAAAAAAAAGTCATCCTTAGCTCATTAAAAAACACTAACCCAGCACTTGTCCCGCAAATAGAGGACAGAAACAGTGTCGGGGCAGTAAAGACAAGGAGGGAATAATCATCAAGAGGTTTTTCGGGAATTATTTTTCTAAACCATATCTCTTTACCTGCTGCAACTGCTCGTATCTTGGCTTTTTTCACCTTGTGTGCGATCTTGGCAAAATCTGCCGCTTGAGACGTGTACTTTTGCTGGATCTACCACGAAAGCAGTTTTGAATACTTTTCCAGGTGTGTGTACGTCTGCTGTTTCTTTGTTGACAGATTTTGTCACTAGTGTCACAACTGTTCAAAAAGCAATACTTGTGGTGTGTAGCTGCAATCAAAATGAAGGTTGAGTTGGGAGTTGGGTGCGGTTTGAGCAAGTGCGGAGGAATCATGTGGGAGGAACCAGAGGATTTAACCACGTGCTATCTGATAGTTTCCATCAATTTCTCATTATTTCCCAGTGATGTTTTCTTTTACTGTTCTTCCCTAATCATCGTTCCATTTTACTTTGTTTACAATTTACAATATATCCACTTCTTTTTACTGGGGCTCAAGTCAATTTCTTTATTTTTTATT